AATTAAAATTACTCATAAAATACCCTCCCCCAAGAATTCTACCCTCTTTTTTAGCCTTGTGCATCACATGAAGAGTCCCTGAAATCCTCCTGTCAGTGTTCCTAGGAGATTTTTGCAGGGAGTTGGAGAGGTTAGCAGTTTATTCAGAGGTGAGGGGGTGTTGTCCATTTTGCACTTAATGAACTTCAGGAATTAGGTTTTCATCCAGTTTTGCCAGGGGGACTCTAAGAAGTGGGGAGGACCCAGGAAATGCCACCTGAGAGTGTTACCCAGTTTTCTAGAGTGGCAGGAGTGTGGATGACTGATACTGCCCTCTCTTCTCCCAGGCTCATCAGTCACTGGAAATACAGAGTAATGAATACAAACAAAGCCTCAAACTTAAAATGGTTCATTTAAATATTCCATTACCTCTGAATTCTTAGTTTTCAGGTTTTTGACTCTTGTAATGTCACATTTCTGTTACTTCTCCACATGCAGTGTCTCCCAGAGAAAAGTCTGAACTTCCTATGTGGAAAAAAACAAGCAGGTTTTTATTTATGACACCCTCTGAATCATCCTTAAATACCAAGGAATAGGAACAAGGTCTTTTTTTTTCTCTTTTCATAGAAAAACCTCCAAGAGCTAATTTATAAAGCTCTTTTGTTTTAGACCACAGTCATTCTTCTGGGCTACCAACCATCTGCATTCACTGCAGAGATGGATCATGCCAGTGGAAAGCCACGGTAGCTTCTGCACTGTTTATCACCAGCATGATGTTGACTTTCGTGTCACTTCTGAAGTGGGGGGTAAGCCATGGCCCCATCACACAGTAGCATCCACTTTCCCACAGGCTGCTTGGTATACAAAACCCAAACAGTCCTCTTTTATCCATAGAGGTAAAATAGGACGAAAGGAACAGCTCAAGGGCTTAGCTCTCGCGCAGACAGAGGGAGGAAAATAAAACTAGAGGCTCAAAGCAGAGTTGACAAAAGAAGAGCAAACTGACATTGTTGAGAGTTAAGTCAATGGATGCTCAGAGCACTCAGCTCCTTGTATGACACGTTCGAGCTCTGCAGAAATGGTCCTGAATGGTGAAATTCAGCCTTGGGCAGAAGACCAGGCAGGGTCTACGCATCACTTACATTTCATTTAACCTGTGTGATTTCAGCAGAGCGTGAGATACATGCCAGATCTCTCCTGAAGACTGAATTTTCACTTCACAATTTCCAGCAATGGGTGAATGGTGAGAGTTTAGTTGTGTTTAGCAGAGGAGGTGTGGTGGAGGCCTCTTTCCCACAGAGGCATGGCTGAATGTTTTCTTTTATTTTTATTTCTAAGATTGGCCAGCAGCCTCTTGGTGTTTCTCCCGAGCAAGTCACTAAAAAAGCATGTTGGTAGATAACTTTGCATCTGTAATTTCCAAGAGAGAGCCACAAGCAGTCTCCTGTCATGGAGAAGTTTCTTTTGCTACCCGAACCAAGGGATTTAGATAAAATTGGCAAATGGAGCAATTTTCTTCAACAGTTTCTTTTAGGTATGGCTGCCATAAAGATAACATTTCCAAGGTGGTTTTGATGAAAAACTGTGTGTGGGGGGTTAGAGTAGATTTAAAAAACCCAGAACTATTGTGAAGAATTGTTTTCCTGCTGTCAGTGTAGTTCAGGTTCTATCTTGTTGATGTGCTGGGAGGAGTGGCTGCTCTGCTGGTTAATAACCCAATTCTTCGTTAATGAGCTGGGCTTCCTGGCAGCACTGAGTCTCCCATGCCACTCCGTGGCCTGAGACACCCTCTATCACTGCTTCTCCCTCTCTCCTTTTGGGGACAGCAGGGACAAAGTGCTCTAACATGAGAAAAAACTCTTCCAGCCAGCGACCCTTGGGAAGAAAACCAGATGTGAGGTCCCCTGACTGTAGTTCTTATGAGGCACCAGAAGCATGCCCAAATATGTTTCTGTTTATCTATTTCAGCTAAATGATTTGTCTAACTGAGTAACAACATTTTATTATATCATTTTCACTACCTTGTGTTTCAAGGAAGGGTATGGACCCTCTTCCTAATGAATATTGAGTCCCCTGTGAGGGGAGGGAGGTGAGCGGTTGTCACGCTGCCCGCGGCACAGACTAATGGGGTAGGGCAGAGTTACACTAATCTGTACCCAGTTCCTGTTGCAGTGCCACCTGTTCCATTACTGCAGCTGGAGAAGTGTTGCACCAGAAACAACAGTGTGACATTGGCCTGGAGGATGCCACCTTTGAGCCACAACCCAGTGGAGGGTTATATCTTGGAACTTGATGATGGAGATGGTGGCCAATTCCGAGTGAGAATTTCATTCAGCATTTATTTGTGTTTCTTTGTACATGAGTTTCCTCAGGATATGGATTTGTGTCTGTCTGAGGGTGGGGAGAGGGGGTAGGGAAGATATGGGTTATCAAAATGTCCTTGCTTCCATCAAGCGGATGTAGAAAGCCCCAGGTGCAGATATTGCTTACTAGGATAGGGCTTACTAGCCCCAGCTTGGATAGGAAGTTTGGTTGAGGTTATTCCTGGGGCTCTGGCAAAGAGAGTCTTGCTGAGGTGAAACATGGACTTTCAAGTCACTACCGCATCTACTGTGTGGTCCCCCTGGAGCGTACCACAGCAAAACATCCCATACTGGACTACAGGGGCTGAAAATAGTTCATTCCAGCAACCTGAGATTGCTCTGAAGTCCACACTCTCCTCTGTCCATACAGATGTCTCTTTCAACAGCTGAGATTCTTGGTTCAGAAATGCAACACAATTTTTCCTGGTTTTCTGAGTAAAAATGGAATCTTGCATAAAAATCTTTAGAAAGATTTCTAAATCATTCCTCTGGGAGTGGATGAGACCAGCCTGGTGGAATCTTTCCCCAGGCATGCTGCAATGGGGTTGGTAAGCACAGGCAGTCATCCTGAGTGCTGTCCTTCCAGACCTTCAATGCCACAACTGTTGCCACAACTGCTTGCTCCTGCCTGCAGGTGCAGAGTACTTCTAGGCTTTCTTCCCCTCCCACCACATCCTGATAGACAGACTACAGAAATAATTCAGATTTCAGCCAGCCATATCCTGCTGGAAGCTGTGGCCCTTCCTCCTCAGGCAGGCTGCATGCTCCTCTTGCTCTAGGACCAGACTGGCCCAGCACATTGCCTAAGGGTTAGTGCTTTGAAAGCATCTGGAGATCACTGTGAAGTACAGCTGCTCTCTTCACACATGGGAAATTTTGCCAAAACCACGTGATGGCATTTCTCTGGGAGCTGCAAACCGGCTTCCCACTAGAAACCTAAATGTTTCTCAAGCTGAAAATGACCTGGCATGGGTACACCTAAGGAACTGCCTCCCTGTGCCAAACAGCTACACCCATAGTCAGCAAAGGTACCTGATGTGGACATCCCTCATTAGAAGAGACAGCAATACTGGCAGGACATTTTGAAGAGGGTGCTGTGTTTCTGGAAGGTCTCCTGAGTTTCTAGGTTCAAGTATCATTTCACATGGGTTTGAAGAGGCTGGTCCCCACTGCTGACAGTGTGAAGAAGTACCTTTGTGAATGGCTGATGGGAGCTGTCGATTAATATTAGTTAATATTAGTAGGTAAGTCTGTTATCAGTGCATGATGAATGAAGAGTTAGGAACAAGGTGTTGTGAATTTCAGTGTCTTGGGTAAACCTTTTCAAGTGCTATTCACATCTAAATAAATACTTATGAATAAACAAGATTTCAGGCTGGTGTCCAAGTCCATTTGTGTGGTGTGTTTTGTAACTGGCAAAGTTTTTAGGCTGCCAGCACCGCAATGTCAAGGTTTTGGATTGAAAAAGATACAAAACCATCTCAATCCTTAAAAATCTATGGTGACAGCTTTTCAGGGGAATGCTTTGCTTGCTGTGGTAGAAACACCCTCAGTTTTACCCACTGAAAGATAAACTGCAGGGTTCTCAGCAATGCCATTTCAATAAGATTTTGCTGACCCTTTTTGTGAAGAATTATATATCTGAAAGCAGTGACAATGACTGCACTTCACCAGTATTTAGTGGGTGAGTTTAAAGAGTAGTTTTTGTTTCCCATCATAGCAGAGAGCATCAGTCTGAATAAACACAAGCAGTGAACAGTGGTAAAAATACCAAATGGATTAGAAAATATAAGAGTTGTCCTACAAATGGAACTTTTTGCACTGACAGTGTATGTTATAACATGGAGATAACTTAAAACTCTTCTTCCTCTCCATGAAAGATCATCAAACTCAGAACCCAAGAGATTTTGTTACTTGTAGCAGCCGCCATGGTAGCAAAGTGGACAAACACACAGCCTGCTGTAAACAAGTAATCTTTTTCTTATTCATCACATACTTAATTCACTTTAGGCTCATATTCGCTTTAGGTTCATATCAAAGAGCCTTAATCAAGAGGACTACTCTAAGGCATATATTTAAGTGTCTTAACTGAGCTGGGGCCTGAGTGGTCTGCTTAGTCACAGCCAAAGCTGTGACTGTCGCAGCTCTTTAGGGTCTTTGCTACCATAAATCTGAGAATTTCACAGAATCTGAGAGGTCAGAGGAGGAAAGGAATTGTGGCTTTCAACCCGCTGCCAAGACGGGATTTTTTCCTTTTCTGTCATTTTCTGTTGCTTTGTTAGGTTTTCCAACAAACATGAGGTTTCTTTCAGTTCATCACAACCTGTATAAGCTGAGTGATCCTCTTCATTAGACTGCCTAGAGGTTCTTCTTCCTGAAATATTTCACATTACATGAGTGCTTGCTGTTTGATAAATTTTTGCAGGCGTTCATGATGTCTCTGTTGTCTAGTTGCTGTTTCATCATGTGATCCTGACCTTTAGGAGATCAGTTTCTTCTGGGTCTGTGTTTGCAGGTTTCAAACAGAATAAAACTGTCCTTATTGCTTTTTTTTTATTCTTCCACACCGCTCTACAGTCCTACATAAATATAAGAATGACCACGGTGGGTCAGACATGGGGACTACTATCCAAAATAGTGTTCTGTAGTAGATGTTTAGGAAAAGAGGAAAAAAATTAAGATCTTTCTGTGTTGCCTTTTAGTGCTGTACCCTTCCACTTTGTCTTCACCTTATTGTCTCCCCTGCTAACCATCCTTGATGTCTCCACTGCTGTGGCTGTCAGTGTTATAACAGCATAACTTCTATATAATGGAAAACGATGAGTAGCTCTTCACTTGTGGCTTATATTTAGAAGTCTTAACATGTGATCACAAGGCATAGAAACAAACTGTGTGCCTCTTTCTCTCTCCTTTTTTTTTTTTTTGGAATGTTTAGGAAGTGTATGTTGGCAAGGAGACTCTCTGTACCATCGATGGCCTTCATTTCAACAGTACCTATAATGCAAGAGTCAAAGCTTTCAACTCGTCGGGAGTTGGTCCTTACAGCAAGACAGTTATTTTACAGACATCAGATGGTGAGTTGGGCTTTTCCCAGTTTCTAAGTGAAAAGCTGGAGATCTTAGTGGCGGGACACCTGCATCTCTTTATCTTTGGCACTTACTGGCATGGAGATTTTGGATCATCTGAGCAGAGAGGCCAGGAACTGAGCATGCACAGGGACTGAGCTCTCCTCCTAGCACTTTTGAGGCTTTTCCATTATCAATAAACCTTCAGTTTTCAAGCATGCGATTTTATTTGGCTGTAGAAGTCTGGGGTCTAACTAAGATACTTATTTGCTTTAGCATACAGAAGCAGTTATGCAACACATAGGATATTTTTGTGCCACTCTGTCTCCACTTCTCCATATAACTTTGGAATTTGCCTTTTTCTTCACTACTGCTTCAATTTCACAGCAAGATTTGATAATAGAGAGATGGGAATTCATGCTTGTTCCTCTGTAATTATACTTGACATCCATACTGCCATTACAAGAAGTTCATTTTCATTAATGATATTATAACGAATCGAGAACTGCATGCTATTATTACTTCCACTTTTATGCTGCGTTGCCAAAATAGGCCGGTATAAAATATTTATACTTGAGCTTTTCCTGTTTTTTTTTTCCTTTTTTGTACCCCTAGTGATAAACTAGTGAAGTCAGTCCTAACCAGCACAGACACAGTGGAACTCAACGTTCATTAAAGGCGATCCTGAACAAATTCACCTATGTGAGCAGTTTCCATGTCATGGAGAAGCATTTGTCTCCTCAATAACTTTCTTGTTACTGTGTGAGAACAGAAAGTCATTGACCTTAGCAGCTTGCATTCAGAGAAACAGGCGCAGATAATATAAGGCACTTCTGAGATGCAAAACAGCAGGGTACCGGTGCAAAGCAACCTTGTGTAGCTGCCTACAGTAATAAGGAAAGGTTGTTTTTATTACCTGAATATGCAGTGGGGTCTGTAGGAAGGCAGAATCTCATTCTGCTGGTTGAAGTAAAGCAGACAACACTTGAGCACAGCTCACTCTGCCATAATCCTGCCTTTCCTTTCCACCTTCCACAGTGGCGTGGTTCACCTTCGATCCCTCCTCCGCTCACAGAGACATAGTGCTGTCGAATGACAACCAGACTGCCACCTGCAACAGCTATGATGACCGGGTTGTTCTTGGCACAGCAGCCTTCTCCAAGGGCGTGCATTACTGGGAGCTGCATGTGGACCGGTATGACAACCATCCGGATCCAGCCTTTGGCATTGCTAGGATTAATGTTGTCAAGGACATGATGCTAGGCAAGGACGACAAGGCGTGGGCCATGTATGTTGACAACAACCGCAGCTGGTTCATGCATTGCAATTCTCACACCAATCGGTAAGCGCCTCCTGCATGCTTTTCTCATTGCTGATTGCTTTTTCTGCTTTGCATCAGAGGAATGGGTCTCAGCAAGTCATCTAGTCCATCTCCCCGCTACATGTAGTTATTTTATTCCTTCTTAAAAGTCACTAATGACAGCAATTGCACCTCAGCAATCTGTGCTGCTGTTTGTTATCCTCACTGTTAGCAGTTTTTTCCTGAGATCTAGCCTAAATCCTCGCTGCTACAATTTAAGCCTGTTATTGCATGTCCCACCTGTCAGCAGACAGGAGCACAGAGCACTGGAATGCAGCACTGGAAGAACTCAAGGAGAAAGGTTGTTGATTCTCTTCCTTAGGAGTACTGTTGGCTGCAGGGTTGCACAATAATTAGGTAAAGCTGTTCAAAATGCAGGTATTCCAATTGCTTGGATTTTTTGTTTGAAGCATAGTTTGATTTTGCAGTTCATTACAGATAGGTGGAAGAACCTTGTAGCTGGATGCAAAGCTATCTGAAATCAATTGGAATGCTTTCATTAGTTTCAGTGATGTCCTAAGTCAATATAGAGTAAACTAGCATCAGTATGATAAATATATCAAAATGTTCTCTGTCCCTTTAATATCTTGATTCGATTTAGGGCGGAAGTAATGTTAAGCTGTATTAATTTTAATGCTCTGTGAAACGGCTTATGTTTTCTGGAAAAAAGCTGGCAACGATTCTGTGTGCTACTGTCCCAGAAACCTATTTTATGGATTTGGTCCTCAGCATGCTCCTCCCGGCAAGCAACAGACAAGGAAAGCTAAACCTTTTCTTCTGGGAAGCACAATGGAGAACACTTTGGTTTTCCAATCATTCTGCTTAAGCAGAAGAACAAGTTTGATGATAGTTTCCCAGTTTTTACTAGATAAAACACAAAGGCTTTGCAGGCATTTCCAAAGCATGGATAGACCCATGGAGTAGCCGTTCAAGTGAAGTACACTTGGGAAGGGCATGTAGTCTTATGAAATCACATGCGCTTCAATGAAATTAGGTCTAGGCGTTATATTTTTAACCATGACAGTCAAGTAGGTCAGTTTTTTAATTCATTAGCTGTAACAGTCTTTTGGAAACAGTTATTGCTGCCTAGTTGTTTTTCCCCACTGGACACAGGGGCATGATAGCACAGTGTCACAGCCCAAAGGAAATTTATTGTCAGCTTTTAACCTCTCAGACATTATTGTGATGGAGGCTATGTCTTTGTAATCATTTCATCCTTCCTAATCTTTGTGAGGAGAAATTAGGGCAATAGATAAATGACTAGCTTCAAGGATAAGCTGAAGTGGAGCTTGAAGGACCTATTAATGGGACCTGTCACATTTAGAATACTTTCCTGTTTTTTTCACTCACAGCATGCAAAATTGGACCTGTCTGCATCCTTAAAAACTAGCATGACTTCTGTAGTGCTGGAAATAAAGGCATGAACAGAAGACTCTTATGCTATCTAAAACAGAGGGGACTTTTGAGAAAAGATTGAATGAACATTGGTGAAGAAAACACTTTAGGGCAGTGATATAGCTTTGTGAGGTAGCTTTCAGCCTTGTTGTTCCTGGAAATAATCAGTTCACACCACAGATGTTGTGTGCCCATTGCTAAGAGGTACTGACATTGCAATAGATCCAGTCCTTGGCAAAGTTCCCAACAGCAGGAGTATCTGGTGCTATAGGTGATTCTCTAGCCACTACATGGTTATGTAAAGAAAGAGATGGAAATCTCACTGAAACGTTTAATACTGAAAGACAATGTGAAGTCAAAATCTGGAGAATTTGGAGTGTATTCTTAAAGCTCCTGTGATCAGGAGGGTCTCTTCAATGGCTTCAAGAAATCTCAAGACCAGGTTTTCATCACACAAACATGTTATAATCAACTGAAAAATACTGTCCTTGTCAATAGACATTGTAAAGTTCTTATAGTTACTGTAAGGCTCATGATTAAAATACTGTTAATGGAGAGTTAAACTATTTTTTTCAGTTTATTACAGTGTTCATAAATTGTTAAGCTTTATTTTTCAATAACAGTTAAACTTATTGCTATTATTAATTCCTCAAGCAAATCCATGCAGTCCTACTCTGCACATTGTCCAAGCTGCTGTTGAAAACTTCTTAGAATAACAGCCTCCACTGCCACAGGCAAGAGCATTTTTCATGGTAGCCAAATTCCCCTATCTGTACTCCAAACTTGCAGGCTTTCACACAGCAGTTCCACACTCAGGACCTACCATTGTGCCCAGAAATAGAAAAGGGTCAGACTGTGAGAAAAGAGGTGTAAGGATTGGTATTTACTTGAAATAACAAAAGGAGTGGTGCATATCTTCAAAAATGGATTATCATTTAATTGATGTGGAGAATATATATTGAAGAAGTGTTGTAAAAAACCAGTTGTGTTTTCCTTTTACATGGCCTGTAGATTATTAGGGGCCTATGGTATAACTGTCATTAAGTAGTTTAGAAAGTGCATTATGGTAAAGCAACAGCTGTTTTATGTGCTGCCACAAAAGCCTAGTAGGAGAGAGTAACATCAGTTTGAGTCTCCTGAGCTAGCTGTTTTTTTCTTTTTAATTGCAACTCAGGCTTTTATTAGAAAAAGTATCTTGTAACATTGACTAAATGATGTACAGAAGAGTGAGGAAGTACCTTGCATAAGTTTGCTTATGAAACTTTGGCTCTCCCACCTCTCTTCCTAAAAGAAGTGACCATGACAGTAGTCCAAAAAGCACTGGATTCAGCTCCCAAGGAAATCATGGGATGCTCAGGAAGAGCCTCAGAAAAAGTCCAGCCTCCCTGGTAGTACCACGACCAAGTGTCCCCTGCTTGTCTTTGCCTTGGCTTCATCCTGCCAGAGCTGGTTGCTCACTGTGGGGAGGTGGCAGCTGAGGAATGGGGCAATCTACCTGCTCAAGTCCTGCAAGACTTCGTGGCAGCAAGGAAGTGAGAGGGTCCTCATCCCTCAGCTGGGTCCTGCACTTGCCTGGCCTGGCTTCTGCAAGCAGCATCTATCTCCTCTTCAGCTGGGCTGTCCCCGGGGGCTGCAGAGGAGTCACTCAATGTCACTGTGGAGCACACAGCTAATTAGCCCACAAGAAGCAAATTAGCTTATCACATAGGAAAGAGCAGAATAATCTCAATTAGGCAAAGTTGCTGTTTCTGTTTCCCTAAGAGAATCAATGTCATTTAAAAGGATGTCATAAAATCTATTTTAAAAGACTGCAGGATATAAAACATGGTGCCCTACAATCAAAGCTGTTTTTAAACGGGGGGGGGGGAAATAATGTAATCTATTTGTAAGGAGCTCTACATCATAGTACTGGTGCTTCTCACAATCTCATAATGAGTTTTGTGATTGAGTGCTTTCAGTAAAAACAGTCTAGATACTGAGATACTGAGGACTGGTAAGCATCTTAATTTTTGTTGGAAAACAATTTACTTTATGGCTTTGGAGAACAGCTCAAAGAGAAACCTAATAATGTCTATAGGACCAGAAAGCAAATAAAAGGAACCTGAGAACAGTAAAGGTTGAAATCTAACACATCTGAAAGACTGATTTATGATTCTCTGTTGTACTGTTATTGTTTGTAGAGCTTTAAATGGAGAAGTCAGTATAGTCTTCTATACTATTATGCCACAGATAAAACTCCCATTGCCTTCAGAGGAAATGCCATGTGTCACATTTAGTCTAAAGGAAAACAGTCCGTGACACCTAGTGGACAAGATGAAAATTTCTTACCCTGCACTATAGTCTTCCTAACCATATTTTGGTCTCCCCTCCTTTTTTCATGTTTTGCCTACCTATTATGATAAATTTTATGTTACAATTGCATTAATCCCGTGAATGTTGTGTGCTTGAGGGGAGTACGTGGGACAAAAGACAGCTGCTTCCTTTCCTGCTGCAAATTATTTGAAATCTGATTTACCCTGAACAAATTGTGTCAGACTGTAAATCCATCGCAGAGCCCCCATGATATTAGTAGAGTAGCAGTGCCTGTGGCCAATCTGCATATCTAGTAGTTTTTTGGCTCGGTGCTCTTTAAAGTAGTGCTGGGTTTGACTGACCCTCAAATCAAAGTGCATTAATGTCAAATCGCTCAAGCATTTAATGACTGGCTCAATCTGGCCTGGCAAGCTCTGATACTGTGGTAGCTCTCAGCAGCTGCTCCTGACACAACCAATTATCACTGGTATTAGTAACTGTGCCAGCACACTTGAAACAGCTCCCAGTGCTATAGCTGAGCACCTTGTCAGACAGGGAGCTGCGCTTATCCCTAACCAGGCACACCTTCCCTTCCTCTCCAAAACTGCTGTTGTAGCCATCCTGGCTCCCTGGTCTCTGGAGAGCTAGATCCCCTTAGGGCAAGCCAAGGTGAGTACTCGAACTGGAAGTCTGAGTCTTACGCTGTTAGCAGGCATAATGATTAGAAATGAATGCCTAGGAAACAAGCTTTCTGCTTTTTCATTCCCTGCTGTGCATCACTCCACTATGGCAGGGATGTTCAGAGGAGCCATATCTCCAGGACCCTGGTCCTGCATGCTCAGTACTGACCTGAATTGCTCACCTCCCTGTCTCTCATCAGCCAAGGGATCCTGTTAGCTTTGGACCCCATTTTCAGCTCTTAGATTGCAATTGGAGAAGACATGGACCTAACTTCTCTTTAGGATTCCACCGTTAAGCTGCTATGAATGTGGTACATGTGCTTCAGAAAAAAGTGTGGAACAGTCATTGCCAAATGCTATGGGGATGATCACTTCACTATGCTGCTCCACTCTCCTGTCACTTAGATTGCCTTGTCGTAGAGAGAGGAGCAGTGGTACTGCCTTTGCCAAACCAACAATGTGGTCTCTTTGTACCTTAGGACTGAAGGAGGAGTTTCTAAAGGTGCCATCGTTGGTGTTCTCCTGGATCTGAACAAGCACAACCTGACCTTTTACATAAACGGGCAGCAGCAAGGGCCTCCAGCATTTGAAAACGTTGAGGGTGTCTTCATGCCTGCATTAAGCCTCAATCGAAATGTCCAGGTAGGTCTTCTGCATTTCAGTCCCACTTACCCTTTTCATCTAAAGGAGAATGTATGCTACCAGCCATTGCTGCTGGGGCTGATAGTGTCATCTGTAGGTAGTCAGTATGGATAGGGGCTCTTTCCTTCTCAGACTGATACCTAGGCTACTAACACTTTTTGGAAAACTGCATTTGACCTTCTGCCTTGCCTCACAGATGTGAGGACTAGTGCTGTAAATGCAAGTAAAACTACCTGCACACACTTACTCCTGCCCTTATTTTGCTGCCATGCTCCACTTGGTGCTAAGGCTTCCTCTGCCAGTTTGACTAAAAACAGTGAGTATCCTAATTCCTCCTAGGTCTTATATTTGGAGATTATTAACATTGGCAAGAGACAGAAATGTGAGCGGCACAGTGGTAAGGAGAGCAAAGACAATGTAGGTCAAAGAATTAGTGCAACAAAGAAGACCCAGTCAGCCCTGCTCATTCTGAATTTTGGAAATTGTTCTCTGTTCTCAAGAGGATCTCCTGGACATGAAGTCTCACAGCCTGTCATTTACTTGCTCTTGGCCTTCATGAATCCTTTCTGCTGAGGATGTCCCAGTTCTGAATCTATGTGTTATTTCTTCTTTGTGCAGGTGACACTGCACACGGGACTGGAGGTGCCACAATGTGTAAAACAGCCCAAGTTACCCAACAACTAATGAAGACCCTGCCTGACCCTGTTCTGGATTCTGTAAGCTTTCTCAGTGTGATTTGGCACTTTTCACTAAGTCAGTAAAAAAGCATTCTCTTCCCTGACTTAAAGCCTTGTACAGCATGTTGCTCACCGAGTGATCCGCTGGTTACAGCTAGCCCACTCTGTTTTTAGTTTAACAGCCATAGCAAGCATACCCACTGAACTGGGACTCAGTTGCAGATGGGTACCTGAGCATAACTACACTGCATTGCATATGTTTGTACACACATGTGCACACACACACACATACACATGTTTGTAAAGCAAAAGGTTAAATGAGTGTATTTTCTCTCTCATGGCTGGATTTGTACTTAATATTAGGGATGCCGGAAAAAATGGGTAAGACTAAGACTGAGGCACAATGGCTGTTGGAGCAATTTACCAGTAGGTGAACTGGATTCACTTGCCACCTGAAGTCCTTAAATCAAGAAAGCATATGTTTTGACAGCTGAACTGGAGACTATGTGCTCAAGAATTCTTGGTTGTCCATTATGTTCAGGGGCTCAAATGGCCATTAATTATTCCTTCTGGCTCTAGACTGCAGTAAGCTGTGGGATAACGTTCCCCTAGAATTCAGTGGCAGAACTTACCTCGTTTTCGTCAATGAGAATAAGATTCGTTTCTAAACACTGGCATGTAATAGTTGCACTCATTTTAGCTAACATCATAAAACATGCAGAATTCAGATACAAAAGTAAAGAGAAATAATCTTTGATACATTTTAGTGTTTGTTACTTAGATGTGATTGTGAAGACGATCACATTCAGAAGTAGTAGTTATCAGCACAATTCTTAAAAAATGGTGCAGGGGAGATCCATTTGAATTGAATTGATAAGAGATTTATATAAATACAGCACGTGCAAAGTATCCCAGGTAGGGAAACGCTGCTTTCCAGCCCTGATCCTGATAAGCCCTGGGCAGCTGTAGTTCCAATGTAGCTTTGAGATCAGAAGCCTTAATTTTCTATTCGATTAGTGTGAGCTAATTAATGTCTTGATCCTAACACGAGAGAGATTGATAGCATTAATGTGAAATCCATCCTTAAGAATTTTTCTGGATTTGGATATAAATCTCTTGCAAGACTTGCCTGTGTCTGGCATCTCCCATGAAAACAAGCAGCTGTTCCAGGTGCTGCCCGTGACAGCTGGAGTCTGACTGACAGGGAACTTTTCCCACAGCTGTGGCACTGTCACCTGTGTGCTGTTGTCAGAAAACACATTGATCTGTGTGTGTGTGTGCTGCTTTTCCTCTGAACCGAGTTCACATATGCGCGTGTGTGTGTGTATATAGCAGCAATGCGTAAGGACAAGATGCAGCAGACCGTGTGAGCCCGTGACATCTCGGACTCTGTCACTCTAATCCTATTTAAGTGGTGCTATCAAACAAGCAAAACATAAACTCTTACATCCCATCCATGCACTATTTCCTTTTTTCCAATCCTGCTGCTTATAAAAATTTTCCTTTCCAAGCATACGTATAAGCACACACATATTGTTATCAGACATGTAATTTTTCAAACTGAAAACAAAGGTTCTAACCAAAATCCAGCTTGCTGCCTTGCGTTAAACCACAGCCGCAGGACAAACAGCTCAGGCCTGCCTTCAGACAGCTGCTAGCCCCCAAGCATCCTGCTGTGGGTCCATCTCTGCTCTCTGGCAGGAGCCCATCACTTGGGTAGAGCTGAGTGATGGCAAGGCTTCCCTTTGAGCAGAGAGGCCAGGATCCTCCCTGGGGGTTGTCCCACGTTGCAGCCATTGTGGGAAGTGGGTGGCAACCCAGAATGAAACGGTTCTGGGCTATGGCACAAACAAAACACATTCTGCCGTCATGCTGCCTGTAACCAGCCAAGCATCCTGCCGTCCACCTCTCCTGCAGAACAGCAGTGCACCTTCAGCAATGTCAAGACTGAAACAGGAAATAAAACCAACAATGGGGAAAAATAACATAAGCTTTTAAGTGGGAAAGCAACGGTACTCTCTTCAAAGTCTGAAATAGATTGTATTAGTAAACTTGTAGACATTGGAATAACTGTGCTATGCTCATCTTAGTTTCTTAAAGGATAGCAGAGACCAACTGTGTTATAATTTTCAGTTTTGTTTAATACCATATGAACTCGTGCAGGATTTTCTAATTAGCGGGTCTGTTTTAACCTACCTCAGCTAGAATGCTACCAGACCCCGAATTTCCTCTTCAGTGTGCTCTTCCATGAATCCAACAGCTGTAATCATAGCCTTGGTTTTGAGTATTGCCAGTCAGAGCAGTGTATGGGAATACTGTACATAAGTTGCACATAGTTTTTTATATTGGGAAACATCTCGTGATAATTTTAATACAGAAGGCACTCCACTTTCACTTGTATTAAAAACAAAAGAACGTTGTTTGTTTAGGGGGTAAACCTTTGTCTTTACTCCCAACTTCTGTGAAGGAAACTCAAATGAATTGACATCTTTCCAATCTTCAACCATTGCCAGATGTTTAAAATTAATTCTGAATGGGTTTTAGAAGTGTCTGCAGTACTTGGTTTTGGTTTTCATAGTTGCTTTGGTATCAGTTCCTGGTGTGTTATACCTTGGGGAGAACACAGTGAGTGATACAGGTTACTAATTTCTAATGGAAATATGGACAGTAGGTAGGGACAAGCTTTAGAGCTGTAGAGAAGCTCATTTGTTGATCTTTACACATTCTAACATTCATAAAAGTAGGGTACTGACTAGCTGCCATTACAGTCTCCTTTTAACCTAGTAGAAATGCAAATAAAATAAAAAGAATACAGTTAGAAGTAGGTAACCTGCATTAGTAAGATTAATTTAGCCTAGGTCAAAAACTAAACAAATGGTTGTATGTGTTGGTTGTGTACACATTCAGGGACTTGGGTTTGGCAGAGCCCATAGCAATAAACCAATTACCCCAGTAGAGTGTAGTCTCATGACTTCAGCTGGATACATTTTGGTAGTTTGATTAACAGAAATAATGCTTAAGTAGCTAGAATTACACTAGAAAACTAATTACTCCACATGTGAATATTTATGCAGAGCGGCCAGATTGCAGTGGCCATTTGAATATAAGCAGAGCAGAATTTTCCCTTGGCAGAACAGCATTGGGTGGGGAGAAGTGGGGCACTTCCACCTCTCTGCTCAGGCTGGAGGTAGTATACTTTTCTGCAGGTAACTCCCCTGAGGTCTGTCTTGGTATAAAACCAGCAGTTCTCGTGTTCTTCATCTAGAGCATCTCTTATGCCAGTTTTTGTTTCCTCCAAATCCCTTCTTTAGGAGGGAGTCAGCGTTTAGTACTATGGTCCTTGCAGAAACTGTGTTGCTGACAGTCCAGGAAGAACCCAAGGGGACCACTTTGGATGCTCTCGCTGCCTTTTGATTCCTTGGGGTATTTGTGCGGCTCTCTGGGACTCCAAACTCCTCTGGACCCCAGACCCACACAGAGCTGCCTTTCATGGGACTCTGCTGCTCTCTGAGGACAGGCTGCTCCTCATAAGCAGGAGAGCAGAGCCTTTTTGCACTGGGATGAATCCCATCCACTGTCGTACAGAGCCCACACAAGGTAGCTGTAAATTGACTTAGGGTTTAAAAAAACCCAAAACCACACACAAGCCAGCCCTCCTTCAATAAACATAGCAAAGCTTGACTTCCGCATGCACCAATTTGGAACCTCTGCACAGCTGCTAAAGAAATACAGCTGGCAAACTTTCTGTCCTGCAGAGCAACAAGGTACTCTCAGTTTTCATCTACCCCTGTGAACCCCAACCTCAGTCTTTGTGAACCTTCTTCCTGACTCCTCTGCAGATTTCCCCACTAAGTTTAGTGGGAACAAACAGAAGAAGTGTGCCACCAGGAGCTTCCCAAGGCGTGCAGTGCTACACTATTCCCACTCCCTTCTTTTCCCTCATCGACTCAAAAAGAGCTCACAAGAAAATCTCTTACTAAGATATAATGTCAATATGAGCACAGGCCTAGCTGACAATCCCTTACTACTTTGCTGTGGAAAGGTATATGCTACAAAAGAAATGTCAGTGAGAACTGTAGCATACTGCGATGTATTGTGAATTTGGAAAGCAATTTGGCTTCTAAAAACATAGAAAAAAGGCAAACAGCATTGTCACCTCCTATATTTGCCTATTCAGAGAAGATACATAAAGGAAAATATATTGGACTGATCAAAATAAAGAAAATTTTAAAAGCATGAGCTTACTTATATCAGAGTTTAAGAGGAAAAGTATTAAATGTAATTTATTATATGCATAACGTTCCATCATGTTGTAAATAATGCCATGATAGTGTATTACTGTAGTTTGTTCTTGGCTGGTGATAGAGTTCTGTCATAGTGCTGTGTAAGCTTTTATTTTTTTCCCAAAGTGTAGTTAGTGAAGATGGCAGAGAGCACCCAGTTTCTGAGTTGTTCTAAAACAAGAAGAAATGTGAGAGGCAGCTTTTTAAAATTTTCTTTCTTACATAATACTACTTCTTAAACAAGGTAAGAGAGAGATGAGATCAAGGCTAAGCTGCCATTACCACTGTATGAAAAATACTGTGTTTGCCACTGCCAACAAAAGGTGGTGCATTTTTGGACCACAATTCAGATTACCCGTTCTTGTGAGAAGGGATGCAAAGTACCAGCATCCTGGTAACTGCAGTTTTCTGGTGCCACCTAGTAGATCCTTTGCTCACAAACAAAAAGATGAGGAAAAGGAGTTGTTAGACCCAATCTCAGGCCTTACCAGCCTTACAGCTTTCTGCTTAAATAGCAAAGTCAAGACTTATACTTCAAACCAGGCAAGATAATATGAAAACCAGAAGCATCTTGGCTAGATCAGCTTTGGAAGGGAGATTACAGTTTCAAGTCCTTCAGCAGGTTATGGTAACAAATCAACCACATTGCCAATGTAAAAGGCACTTATCACTGAAAATTACCAAATGAAGATGGAGAGTCTTTTTTATTATTATGATTTTATTT